CTACTACGGGCTTCCAGTGGGGTGAGACCCTGAGCAGTAGGGTGTGAGCCACACAGAGTGGACCCCTCAGTACGTATCAGAGAGCTCCGTCTGCTTTATCATTGAGCAAGGCTGAAAAGGAAAACACGGGTGTCAACTGTCAACACTACACTAAGGAGAAGAAAGATCACCCGCTTAGAGCAACAGCAACAAACAACAAAAAGTTAAATAAAACTAAATGGAAAGTCTGGGGTTAAAACAGACACATACCTTGGCGTGATGTAAATCGACCCCGTACATGGATAGTTTTTTGGCATTTTCCAAGAAATGCATCTCTGCTTCTGCTGGTGTCATTCCTCTGATAAGAAAAACAACAGGGCGGGGCGGGGAGGGGGTTACAATGCTGCTTCCCCTTTCCCTTACGGGTGCTAACACACCCCGCTTAGTCCCTGGCTATCTAACAAACAAGCCAGCACAGAACCACCAGGGCACAGATCCTTACAGGGGAAGGAGAGGGGAATAACAAGGAGAGTGGATTTGAAAGCAAACATCACAAAGAACTCCTGAATGCTCTGAGACAGCTGAACCCCCCCAGGACCTCACCCATACAGACTCTCCGTGGGCTCATCCCTAAATTTACTGAAATCAATACTGGGAAGATGGGTTTGTACATGCGAGGCTCACCCATCAAGGCGACTGTGAAATTCAGTGCCCCCGGGGCTCCCGTGACTGACCTGTGGCTCTTGTGCAGCTCGATCACTTTGTCTTCTAGTTCTTTAGTGTGGTTGGGTGCAAAGCGGAACTCGCTGATGTAATCGCTCCCACATTCCTCGGGATCATAGTCTCCCAGCTCTGACTGTACCGTGTAAGAACCCAGCAGGGCCAGAGTAACAAAGGAGCAGGGCAGCCTCCCGGACACAATGTCATCTCGCAGCTGTAGGCAGAGGTAGTACCTGCCAGGAGCCAGAGACAGATCAGAAAGCCGGCATCAGGACACGCGGGATACACCCAGTTGGCATCGGTTCCTACCTGTCGAACCACCTCTCCAGACAAACTTCCTAACATCTGTATTTTGATCTAGATATAAGGAAAAAATACTTGGCTACAAAATGTAACATTTAAGAACATCTAGAAGTCAGGCA